TGTGAAGTACTTGTCCATCATTTGGAAGCTTTTGTTTCTTTGCTATCTCTTTTAAGAACCCTTGTGAAAATCTAAAGTGCCCTTTCTGCCCTCCCTTTCAAGAGTCTCTTCTAAGTGGCCTATGAGACTGGAAAACTGTTGAGAGGGGGTTTCTAAATCGCAAAGCAGTTAGAGATATATTGAAGTTCATTGGAAAAGACCTAAAACGAGCCCAAAAACACACTTTCATCTACCAATGAAAACAATATCTTGCAGGTCTGTGATGTGTCTGTGTGCATAATTGAAGTACGTGAGTTAGTGAGGGTAGAGCTCCTATGATGTCAGTTTGTCCTGAAACCTACTAAAGTCTGATGCAAATGGGTGAATACTGGCCTTCACACTACCAGCAAATTTTACTTACTAATTGGTTTCTTTTGGGTTCTAGCAAGTGATTTGGACTTAGAAGGATATTTTTGAAGTGTCAGGAGAGGACAGATGAATAGAATTTGGTTACAGGGATCCAAATTCCAACACGATATACATATGTGTGGTGTGTGTGTGTGTGTGTGTGTGTACGTATATACAGATATAATAGTCAACTTTCAACAGGTGAATAAACAAAGAAGGTATACACAATGACATTTTACTCATCCATAAAGAATGAAATTAACACCATTGGCAGGGAAATGAATGGAACTGAAGATCATCATGTTAAGCAAAATAAAGCTGGCTCACATAGAAAATTAGTGCATGTTTACTTTCTTATGTGGCATCTACATTTGCAGCATATCCAGGAATTCAAGTAAAATGACTGGAGAGAAGAAAGCAAGAAGTAGAAGGGAAAGTGGGACAAAAGAGGGAAATCTGCACAAAATACACAACAAATGTTGGAAAAGTAACAGTGAAATCCATCATGTTACATAATGAATATAATACTAATAATAATGAAAAGCACTGGGCTTTTTTTCTTACATTAGAAATTGTCATTCATTTGTGTAGTCACAGGAATCCCCCCCCCAAGAGGTTTTATAACTTTCCTTAACAGATTAAAAAATAATAAAAAGTAGTTTTGAGGCAGCATAGGACATTCTGATTAGTTTGTGTTGATAAACAGAGTTTTGATTGTGTGCATGTGTGTCATGTACCGCAATCGCTAAGGCCGCAGAGGAGGACGATGCACACAGTCCTGATGAGGCCAGATAAGCTAGGGTCAGATGGAAGGGGAGGAAGACCTCCCCTATCAGTGGACTTAGAGAGGGGTATGGGAGGAGATGAGGGAGGGAAGGTGGGATTGGGAGGGAATGAGGGAGGGGGCTACAGCTGGGATACAAAGTGAATAAACTGAAATTAATATAAAAAATTAAAATTAAAAAAAGAAATCAATTCTGAACTTGAAGACCATGTTGTACCGTAGCTTGCTGACTGTATCATTCCAACATGTAATTCTGTTTGCTCAGTACTCCATTTTCTAAAAGGAAAGCTCCAAGGCCACCTAACTAGCTACTAGTGCATTCTCCTTTGAACCCCCAAGCAGCATACTGAGGAGCGTGTTAGCTCCTATGGCAGCGTTATCAATTGTGTGCCTTAAGTTTGCAACAAATCCATGCAGAATGTCTTTTGCCAAAGTGTCTGTGTTTGTTCGGTTAGTACTTTTTTTCTGGTCTAAGTGTCTTCCCTCCTTAAACGCAGAAAAACTCAAACTAATAACCTCACTTCAACAGTTGTTCTATAGAGCATGCTCTTGTGATTCTTCCTTTTGGCGATTCTTTGCCACACCCCAGGAAGCCTTTCATGGGAAAGTTGTTATTCCTGCTTCCCTGTCATGCAAAATGTCCAAGTAGGTGATCAGCAGGATCAGAGGCTCAAGTGCTGCTAAACTTTCGGGTGTATAGTTTATGTACACACACAGAGAAAGTTTTCACATTTTCAGAATTTTCCAATAAATCCACACAGACAAAAAAAAAAAAAAAAAAAAAAAACGCCTATGTTGGGAAAAGGGCGTTGGAATGGTCCACTGCTTCTCTGTACTGAAGTGCGTCCCACATTGGGCTGAGATACTTGGTTCCCAATGGACAGCAGTGTGAATATATGGGACAGGTAAGCCAAAAGAACGAAAAGAGCTTAACAGACATTCATTTGTGTATATGTGTTTCTGAGATGAGGTCTCACTATACAGTCCAGGCTGGCCTCAAACTGATCATTTCAAGTTTAGAATCTTCCTGTTTTTGCACTTTACTGGATTTAATATTAAAAGTGAAAGAGGTACTTCAATGATGATAATTAAGTGGTTCTTGTATTTATAGTTATTTTTACGTGGTGGCGGTATATCTTAATGCAGTTTTGGAGTTAATGGTATTTTTTATTTATTTTTAATGTATGTATTCACTCTATAGTCCCATCATAAGCCCTTCTAAGTTCACAGTATTTTAGGCAGATGAAAACAATGGACATTTTATTCAGTAAATAATAGTGTATACATAGTAGATAATGTGTCTATCATATAGAAGTTTGGATTTATAGACAAGCTTGGTGCCCTTCTCTGGATATCATGTTTCTCTCTCTCTCTCTCTCTCTCTCTCTCTCTCTCTCTCTCCCTTTTTCTCTCTCTGTCTCACCTATAAATTTACTTGCAGACTGCCTTTATACCTTCTCAGGAGTGACATACTCAAGAATTTTTATTTCAAGTCCTCTCCCTTTTAAAAAAGACTTTTTTATTTTGTGTGTGTCAGTGTTTTGCCTGTATGTATATCCATGTACTACGTGTGATTTTGGTGCCTGAGAAGTGCAGAAGAGGACATTAGATGCCCTGGAACTAGAGTTATAGACAGATGGAGCTGCCATGTGGGTGCTAGGAGTAGAATCTGGGTCCTCTTTTAGACTGAATGTTTTTAAGTGCTGAGCTGCCTCTCCAGCCCAACCCTCCTTTTAAATGGCAGACAGAACTCAAGGCTGACTGTTAGGAATGTTCTCCATCACTGAAATGTTAAACAGTAGCTGATGGACACCATGGGAAGATGTCTTTCTCCTTTATCTTAGCTTAGAATTAATAAAAAATGTTGCTATCACTAACATGAAACTTAGGGCAAACATTGTTTAATTACAACCTTCCTCCTAAATGTGGCCTCAGCATAGCTAGTGAAGTCCTAAGCCCAAGTCACAAAGGTGATAACACTGAGGAGATCAGGAATGTAATGTAGTCCCATGAAATATTGCACTTCTGTCTTTCAATAGCAAAGATTTGCTATTATAATATGCCCTTCCTCTCTCTCCAGAAAAAAACTGTGAGAAGACTGTTTTGGAGCGTGACTTTATGGCTTGCTACTCTGTTTTCTGACCACTAGAACAGTTATACCTAAATTGTCAATAGTTGGTATATTGGTGAGAGAAAATGTTTTGACTATATGTTGTATGTCGGCTCTGTTGGTGCCGCTGTGAGCTAGGATTGCAGTTTATGTCCATTATTTTTTATTTTATATTTACTTATTTTCTATGCAGTGTAGCCCTGGCTGTCTTGGAACTTTCTCTCTCTGTAGATCAGGCTGGCCTCAAACTCAGAGATCTACCTGCCTCTGCCTCGAAAGTGCTGGGATTAAAGTTGTGTGCCACCATACCTAACTGAAGGTTCATTTAATATTAAGAATAAATTTCACAGTTTGGAATTGTGACTTTAGGACGCTTCCTTCTAGAAAGTAATCTTCTAGTGTCAGAGTTCTTTGTGATAGTCACTCTTAGTAAGGTGGGACAGCAGTTGCCTTTGAATCAGTGTGCACTTCAGACAAGATTATTTGGAAACAAACCCCTGCCTACTGGGTGCGGATGTGTCTTCCTCTCTTAATTCTTTCTTCTGAGTATTTGAGTTATACCCAGAGCACCTAATTGGGCTTGTCTTGCTCCTAATTTGGCTTGTCTCCACATGAAACACGTTTACCATTACTCACCAGTGCTAGGGACAGAGATGGAAAATCAGCTCAACATAAACTACACTGTCCAAAGCAAATTTATAGCGACGTCTATATTCTTTAACAAGTCCTCCTTTCACATCCAGCAGACATTACACATAAGAACATAAAAGGATTCATCTTGGTGTTGGCCTTTAAGAACAGGTGATGCCCACCCAAGTTGTGTAGTTTTCCTCCGTATGTGTTGTTATTCACCACAAGCCAAACGTCTGTTCATAAAACTGTTTGCTCAGCTATTGGTTGCTGGTTCTCCATTCTAAAGTGAATACCCTATGCATCCTAGCTTCACTTTTAATTTGGGTTCTGATTAAGTAACCTGGGGTTGTGGGAACGAGTGTAGATGTATACGTGTAACTCTCTTTGAAGGCAGAATTTGGAACAGAAGTATCACTTTCCAAATCCACTAGGATGGATTAGTATATTCTATAGCTAACAGTTCACACATGCACTTTCCACTCTCCCCAGTGGACATTGCAGCTGCAATCTGAATTAGGTTTTCTGAACCTAAAACTGTATCTGTTGCAGTTTCTCTCCAGAAAGCAATTAAATAAATTGAGGTGCTCTTTTTTCCCCTTAAATTTAAATACCGCAGTAAAATTACATTTTTCTGTTATAAAGTATTTCAAATGCAGTCTTTAATCTTAGAAATGCCTTTATATCGCTGAGGATTAAAACTATCCACAGCAGATAGGACCCTATAAAGGTACCAGCTACTTATATTTTCTTGACAATGTGTGAGATGTAGTGACTCTCAAAATTTAAAATACAGTAAGCTAACCGAAGTATAGAAACACAGGGAAGAAGATCAGCTAACTTATTAGCTCTGACACACACTGTAGAGTAAATATTTCATTGGCACACATTTAAAAAAACAAAAAACAAAAAACAAAACTACCACGTCATTAAGAAACAAAAACCTCCACAATCACCACAATCAGAAGCTGTAGGTGTTTAAACACAGAAGAGAAAGGCCAGATCTACCTAGGAACCACAAGCTGACAAGTTTTTGGAGTCTGGCCCCCCTTTAACTGTTTTTCGCTGAGACAGCATGGGCAGCATGTGGCACTGAAGAGCAACTGATGGCTGGCAGGGCCTGCTGGCCGTCTCTGTGGGGTCAGGACCCTGTGCGGCAGCTGGGATAGCGGAGTGGCACCTGGAGCTTCACGGAGGCAGGAGTGAGGAGGGCGAGACAAGGGGCTTGAGCACCCGACTGCCCCTCTGCTGACGAGGGGCAGTGCTCCCTCAGCTGGGTTCCAGATGTATTTCGTACGTCTAGGTATAAAAAGGCAAATGATCACAACGGTCAAACAGAACACGAAGAACGTGACTAGAAAAGACTGAAAACGAGAGGAGCTTCCCTTCTTGGTCAGGGCCAGCGAGGGAACCCTATTTCGGGGTCACCTCTAAGAGCAGGAAAATTGCACATTTTTCTCTCGACTTCCAAAACAGATGGCGGGGAGTAGACTTAGAGCCGGGTGGTGACTTGTTCTTCCTGTCCATCACCCCATTTGTGCATGAGCAAGTCACAGGCCTCTCCCCAAGTTTCAAAGACATCCTCCGACGAGTCCAAGAGTTTAGAGTTGGAGGAGCAGATGCTGGACGCGCAGTGGAGAGAGCTGGAGCAGGCCAGAGGGCACTCGCTGCTCCGAGCAGCACCCCGGATCTCACCCAACTCTATCCCACTGAGGTCCATTGCACTTCTGGAACAGGCCTCGGCCTGCCCTGTCTCCATCTCGGGATAGCTGACGTCCCGCCACATATGATGCTGCTGGGCGATCCCATCAGAGATCGTGTACATGGGCTCTGAAGTAGGTTCAGACGAATGACCATTAAACTTGGAGAACAGGAAACCCAGTTTCTTGAAGGAGGGACCCATGAAGGGACGTCTGCCTGATGCCTCGGCCCTCTGCTTTCCTTGAGCACTGCTGGCTCTTGGCACGGTTCTGACGAGGGGTGCTCCCTGGGAGGACTTTTTCTTGCAGCCCAAATTGAAGGAGACGCTCTTCGATTTGGCTCGAGCCCCCCCACTGCCATCATGGGTGTCGTCCCTTTGAGAAAGGTCAGCACTGCTGGTGGAAAGGCTTCTTCTTGGCTGTTTTCTATTTCCTAAGAGGTCAAGGACTTCGTATCGAAAGCTGGAGATGTCCTGCTTTAGTTCCTAGCAAAAGAGAGGAGACATTTTTCATGAGAAAAGGAATCTCTAAAGAAGGCACTTCGGGGCTCAGAGGTTAATTACACTCACTGTTCTTCCAAAGGTCCTGAGTTCAATTCCCAGCAACCACATGGTGGCTCATAAGATCTGGTGTTGTATATATAATAAATAATGTTGTATATATGTCTATAAATAAATAATATAAATATATATTTATATATTATAATATATTTATATATTATATAAAATATATATTATATCTAATATATACATATAAATAGTATATATAAATAAATAATAAAGAATGTTGTATAAATAATAAATAAATCTTAAAAAAAGAAGGCACTTGGAAGTCTGAACAAGCTAAGTTCTAAGTAGTAATAAATCATAAAACACACATTGTACTTCCAACCTCTTCCAGGAGTCGAGAACAGAAAGACTCTCCAGTTGTGACTGGAACAACTGTGCAGTGGGTAAGATTGGTTTCAGAACCTCTGGGCCAGGAGAAGAAGAAATTCATCCCTCATTAAGTGATGACTGGCATGGAGGAATGGCTCAGTGGTCGGGGGCATGGGCTGATCTCTCAGCCGACCTGGGTTCAATCCCATGGGGAACCCCACACCTGTTTGTGACCCTAGTTCCAGAGGTCCTGACATCCTGCTCTGTCCTCCTCCTATGCCAGCACACGGGGTGCACATACATACCAGTGGGTAAATATTCATAGAGGCCAAACAGCCATCTGCACAGACTTTTAAAAGTGGCTCTTACGGGTATCTGTAAGTAAAAGGACAACTAAAGAAGAGAAGACCTTTAGGACCCAGGAAGGAAACTGAGGAAATGAAGTGTCGATCCCTCTCCATCCATCCCTTCTCATTTCTTCCAGCTGCCCCCTCCCCCAGGCGCCCCCTTTTCTCAGGGACGGATGCCCAATACTAACTTAGCAAAGGGACTGGCGCCTCAGTCCTCAGCAGATGAGTCCTCTCTGTGGATTAAATAACAGAATTTCCGTGTGCCTCTCAGGGATATATTACTGTGGTTCTCTGTGTTCATGCATCACGCATCCCGGGGTAGGGTTTCTCATACCAGGCTTCACTGATCTGTCAGGCAAAATGGTTCTATGTAATGGAAAGCTATCTTGGTAATTGTGGTTAGTACATGATTAGTAGTGCCTCTCTCTGTGCCCGCCAGATGGCAGTGTAACACTTAAAACATTTCCAGACAGCCAAGTGGGCCTGAGGACCTGACTGTCCCTATGTGTGACTCACTCTTTTAAGTTGATACCAAGAATCATAAGAATTGAAATTTAATAATGCGCATTTTGGACTTTACTAAGCATCTTTTAAAGAAGGCCTTTGGGTCTCCAGGACTTTTCTGTTGGATACCTTACCCCTTAGCCAGACATTCTTGCTATATCAATTAGGCATGTCATTCTTGCACTGAGAATACATATTTCAAAAAGGATGGGGAGGATTGGTTCATTCTGCTCAGAAAACTGATTGTGACGGCATTGGTAAAAACCTACCGGCCCTAGAGAGAGAACCACAGGTGACAGTGGTGGCTGGAGGACAGCGAGTCACCTCTCCCAGGGACCACCTTCCCCCAGTTGTCAAGTCCAGAGTGGACATCCCTGAAGCCATATACATACGAATGATAAAAACAGATTCGAACAAGTTGTATTTACATACATTTACACATGTATGTATGTGTACATGCACGAACACACACATAAAACAATAGAAAACAAAGAAAAAGAAGCTATTGAGAGTGGGGAGATATGGGAGAGAGATGAGGGAGCAGAGCTTGGAGGAGCCAGAGGGAGAAAAGGGAAGGGGGAAAGGAACATTTTTTTTTTTTCGATTACAGACACTTTTTTTTTTCTTTTTTATTGTAGAAAGGGAAAAACATGTTTCTACCTGCTGGATGGCAGATAACTCTAAGACAGAATAAGAGTTTCAGGGGCAGCAGTAATGACTCAGTGATTAAGGGCACCGAGTTCGTCTGGGCTCAGCTCTCATTGCCCACATGGTGGCTCACAACCATCTGTAACTCAACGCCCAGGGGATGCTGACACCCACAGGCAGTACACAGGCAGGCAGAATAACCAATAAAGATCAAATCAATTTTTTTCAAAACTTTAATTATAACTAAAAGTAATTTTTAAAGGCTCTTGTTTTTTTTTTTTTTTTTTTTCTAGAGACAGGGTTTCTTGGTGAAGCCTTGGTTGTTCTGGAACTCGCTCTGTAGACCAGGCTGGTCTCAAACTCAGAGATCTGCCTGCCGCTGCCTCCCAAGTGCTGGGCATAAGGGTTTGCACCACTACTGCTCAACTAAAGAGAATAATTTTTAAAAAAATAAGAATTTTAATTGATTTTTCTGCACTATAGGAAAGATGAATTCTATAATCAGAAAATTCTCAGATGATGAAGATTAAATTACAACAAGAAATGAGGAATTAGAACTTTAAAGTAGCTCTGTGGACAGGGGGAAACTCTTGCAGAGAGAGTGGGAGGGGAGAGAGAGGGAGAAGAAGAGAGAGAGGGAGAGAGAGAGGGAAAGAGAGAAAGAGGGAAAGGGAAAGAAAGAGAGACAGACAAAGACAGAGAGACAGAGAGATTGGGAGATTTACCCACTTCATGATTAAATTACCTTAAAATTTTCTTCTGTTAGCCCCTCGTTTGTTTTGGAGTTTCTTATCATTGCAGCCACATACCTCTTGACTAAATTCCTGATAACCTCCTGGAATTAAAAACCCATGAAGAGATATTCAGTTTCCTTTACAGGCTGTCAGGTAAACAAGGAACTTGTTTAGAAAATTTGCTTTTATCATTTTGCAATAGGAAATCATTGGGTTGATGGACCACTGCATCTCTGAATTTTGGTGGCCGAGTGTGGAGTGTGTTGGTACCATTAAATCTGCCCCAAGGAAAGAATTTCCACTCATGAATATGGTAAGCATGTATTCAGCGTGTGTGTCTGCATATGGGTGTGTGTATGTGTGTGTGTATGTGTATGTATTTGTGTGTGTGTATGTGTGTGTGAATGAGTGTGTGTGTGTGTGTGTGTGTTGAAAGTAGAAGAGCTCTTGAATGCTCATTCAACATCCATTCCTCTGGGATGGATTAAACTTTTTAGTGAAGTGAGGGGTTCTTCACTTCATGAAGTGGAGAGTCACTACATAAGCTAGTAATTTTACAATCAAGATATTTTTTCATAGGATCAACACTTCACCTTGATAAGAAAGGTCGCAGGAAGATTTTCGTGGTTGCAACGATTGTATTGATGATAATGGCCACTTACACAATATGTCAGGTAGAATGCTAGGCACCATCTACACTGAATTTTTTCCTTTTTTTCATAAGCTAATTTTTTTAAATTTATTTTTCTTTTTAGTTACATTTTGTTAACTCTGTGTCCCAGCTGTATCCCGCTCCCTCATTCCCTCCCCAACCCCACACTCCCTCCCTGGTCTCCTCCCTGCCCCTTTCCAAGTCCACTGATAGGGGAGGACCTCCTCCCCTTTCATTTGACCCTCTTTTATCAGGTATCTTCAGGGCTGGCTGCAAAGTCCTCCTCTGTGGCTTAACAGGACTGCTCCTCCCCTGGGGGGGGTGTCAAAGAGCCTGCCCTTGAGATACTGTTAGAAATAGTCCTTGTTCCCCTTACTTTGGAAAACTACTTGGTTACTGAGCTACCACGGGCCACATCTGAGCAGAAGTTCTAGGTTATATCCATAGATGGTCCTTGGTTGAGTGTCAGTCTCAGAAAAGACCCTGTGCCCAGATATATTTGGTCCTTGTGGAGCTCCTATCCTTTCCATATCATACTAACTCCCCTTCTTTCATATGATTTCCTGCACTCTGCTGAGGGTTTGGTCATGAGTCTTAGTGCCTGCTTTGAAACACTGCTAGGTAGAGTCTTTCAGATGCCTTTTGTGGTAGACTCCTGTCATACGTTCAACGCACATCCCATTTGTCTTTCTAAATGAGGATTGATCATCTTCGCCTGTGTCCACTTTCTTGATTATCTTCTTTAGGTGTGTAGATTTCATTATGTTTATCATATCTTATAGGTCTATATAAGCAAGTATATACCATGTTTGTCTTTCTCCTTCTGGGATACTTCACTCAGAATGATCTTTTCTAGATCCCACCACTTGCCTGCAAATTTCATGATTTCCTGCTTTTTGATTGCTGAGTAGTATTCCATTGTGTAAAAATACCACAATTTCTGTATCCATTCCTCCGTTGATGGACATCTGGGTTGTTTCCAGGTTCTGGCTATTACAAATAAAGCTGCTACAAACATGGTTGAACAAATGTCCTTGTTGTGTACTTGAACATCTTTTGGATATATGCCCAGGAGTGGTATGGCTGGGTCTTGAGGTAGCGCTACTCCTAGTTGTCTGAGAAAGCGCCAGATTGACTTCCAAAGTGGTTGTACCAGTTTACATTCCCACCAGCAATGGAGGAGGGTTCCATTTTCTCCACAACCTCTCCAGTATGTGCTATCACTTGAGTTTTTCATCTTGGCCATTCTGATGGGTGTAAGGTGAAATCTCACAAGCCAATTTTTTAAATTTATTTTTTTATCGAATAGAGTTTGTTTACTTTGTATCCCAGCTGTAGCCCCCTCCTGCATTCCCTCCCAATCCCACTCTCCCTCCCCCTTCTTCTCCTATGCCCCTCCCTCAGTCCACTGATAGGGGAGGACCTCCTCCCCTTCCATCTGACCCTACCTTATCAGGTCTCATCAGGACTGGCTGAATTATCTTCCTCTGTGGCCTGGTAAGGCTGCTTCCCCCTCAGTGGGAGGTGATCAAAGAGCCAGCCCCTGAGTTCATGTCAGAGACAGTCCCTGTTCCCCTTACTAGGGTATCCACTTGGAGACTGAGCTGCCATGGGCTACATCTGAGCAAGGGGTCTAGGTTATCTCCATGTATGGTCTTTGTTTGGAGTAGTGGTCTCAGAAAGTTCCCTGTGCGCAGATTTTTTTGGATCTATTGCTCTCCTTGTGGAGCGCCTGTCCCCTCCAGGTCTTTCTATCTCTCTCCCCTTCTTTCATAAGATTCCCTGCACTCTTCCCAAAGTTTGGCTATGGGTCTCAGCATCTGCTTCAATACCCTGCTGGGTAAAGTATTTCAGAGGCCCTCTGTGGTAGGCTCCTGTCCTGTTCTCTGTTTTCTCCCTCCTCCAATGTCCGTCCCATTTGCCTTTCTGAATGAGGATTGAGCATCTTACCCAGGGTCCTCCTTCTTGACTAGCTTCTTTAGTACACTGACTTTCAGAACCCTGTAATTTAACTTTCCTTATTATTCCTGGTTTACAATTGAAGAAGCTAAGGCCTAGTAGTGTTATTTGGCTTCTTCAGGGTCACACTGCTACTTCAGGCTGATTGCAAAGCCTTTAGTGATATTTCGATACTGTAGTACTACTACTTCTATTTGATGAACTCTGAGGAGTCCCAGAGATTCCTAGGCAATGTTTGTTTTTTGGTTTTTTGGTTTTGGTTTTCCTTTTATTAGGATCTTGAAGTGGAAAATAAAGACAATGAATCTTGCCTAGGTTTCACCATTTAAAAATATTATTAGCATTGGGAGTAAGTGTAGTGAGAGAAGGGTCACCTATGACACACCGTACTTGGTGTTTCTCATTGTTATTTACAACTAAGAGGAACAAAATTAGGGAATCCATTTGTGGAATAAGGTTGAGTTTCCTTTCTTTTAAACCATGTAGAGTATTTTTCTACATGGATTTCTTGAGGTGGCCTTTGCCCTTGTTACACAGCTGAGGATAATCTTGAACTTCCGATCCTCTGGCCTCCATCACATTCAGTTTCTGTGGTTTTGGGGGTCAAACCCAGGGCTTCATGTATGGTGGGAAAGCACCTACTCTGCATTTCTTTTGGTCCAAAAGATTAGATGTAGTTTTTTACCTGTGATTTTCAAAGATTGCTTTCAATAAATGTCTTAAATATTTTTGTGCTTGGCTCTCTTCTGGCTGATACCACAAGAAGCATGCAAACCTATTCCTCTGATGAAAGTCTTGTTTATAATTTAGGAAGCCCATGTGTCTTCATAGAAGATCTTACTTTACTGGAGTTACCAGGAACTTCCTTTTGTTCTCCCTTCCCTAGTTACTATGTATTCCCATCGCTGAACTTGTCTTTCTTTCCAGCAAGTTTTACCCTACTGCTCACCTAATTTTAATAGTCTTAATGATGCAATATCTTCCACCCCTTATAGATAAAAAGTTGCTAAAGGGCACAAAGATTTTGTCTTGTATGTCCACATGACTTATCTAATGGGTATCTTAGTGCCTGATGTGAAATAGATATTCGTTTACTCATTGAGTGACTGAGCAACTACATAGCTGCTTCTTAATTTCCAGGACAATAGCTTTCTAAGATCTGGATGGCTCCAAGCCTGCTGAGGTAACAGTAAATGGACACAAACAGGCTTAGAGGGCAGGTGATTTTGTCCAAATGTGTTATTTCAGCCTTGAGTGAATTACATTACTCACAGGGCCCCTACCCAAGTTAAGTCTAGACACAGATAAAGGTGAGTTTCTTTCTACTCCACAGAGCTGGCTGAGAACTCATCTGTCTAGCCCCAGTGCATAAGTAGTACCTGATAATGTTGATTTTGTATCAGGCTATCAGCATGGCGTTCCTGTAATTCAAAATGGACAGAAAGGTTACATCAGTTGGCCGGCGCCCTACCCATTCACCCACCTCAACGACTCATCAATGTGAGGACTGCAGAATGATACATCAGCTCATGACTGACAAATAACAAAAGCAGGAATAATTGTCTGATGTTTAAGACAGGAATTGTCATGAGGAAGGGAAAGGAGGAAAACAGTTTTGTGTAAAGAGAAACAATTGTTTGTTTGTTTTTTTTAATTGGTCTTACTGTGAAGCTTCTCAGGTTGTGCCTTCTTCGTCTTCCATCAGGGTCTCTTTTGGGACAGAAGGTGTTGTTGAGCCAGTTGCCAAGATAGAGAAAGGATTTGGGGCTGGGGATAATGTTGAAAGGAGGTGGCAAAGTGCCACCTTCATCAAAGTAACTCATCCAGAGCTTTGTTCTTGCAAACTTCCACTCGATATCAGCATGATCCTATGAAGGACAGAAGTGCAAGCTTTGAGAGACAGGAAGATGGAAAATACATGGAATGTCTCATTTTAATCTCTGCAGTTGCTTCTATAGAAGGCAACCTGGCAGCAGCTTTCTAAACTCCAATCACACATAACTACAAGTGCAAATTCGTTGATCTGGCAATTCACTGTGAGAAAGAAATCTTATTTGGTTGGTTGTTGCATGCCTCTAAACCCAGGAAGGTGAGGCAGAGGGATTGTGAGTTAGGGACTAGCCTGAGCTATACAGTGAGATCCTACCTTAAAATACAAGAAAAGGTGCCAGGGGTATGGCTCAGTAGTAGAGTTCTGGCTTAGCATGTGTGAATCCCTGGGTCCAATGACCAGGACTGAAAAAATCAAAAACAAGAAGGAGGAAGATTGAAGGGACACACGGAGGGAGGGAACTGCAGAAAGATTATACTCAGGGCTCTCTACTGTAGTACAGTTTAGTAATAACAAACAACTGTAAGTCATCTAAATATTCAATAGTAGAAGACTGTTTAAATAGATGATGTTGTGACAACAAAATGCCAGGCAGTCTAACTTTTTAGATCAAACTTCATGTATAGAACATATAAATATATACATATGAAGATCTTGAGTGCAAAAACCACAACATATATTGTATGCAAAGGTCTCATTTAATTAAAGTAAAAAAAAAAAAAAACCTCACATATTTCCATGTACTCTGCAGGTAGGTATATGCTACACTGCGAATCATTGTTGTTTTCAAGAAGTGGAGATGGGTTCCTTCAAGAATTGTATTTTTTTTATTATTATTCATTCTCTAAAACCATCAGCAAGCAGAATGAAGCGCTTTTTTTCTTGTCCAACTGAAGGTTCTTCTCTAAGTTCTTTAGAGCAGAAAGGTGTGTCTGTATATTTTTTTTTCCCCAAATGAAATTATCCAGCACTGCATTCTATAGCTAGCCTCAAGCTGGCAGTCTCCTGTAAGCTGCTTGTCCTACTGAGGCTCTGTTGGCATTCAATGAGGGATTTATTTTTCTTTTTCTTTTTGAGACAGGGTTTCTCTGTGTATCCCTGGCTGTCCTGGAACTCTCTCTCTGTAGACCAGGCTGGCCTTGGAACTCAGAGATCTCCCTACCTCTGCCTCTCAAGTGCTGGGATTAAAGGCATGCACCACCACCATCCTCAAACCATTTCTAAAGTAAACATTTTTGAGATCTAATTTACAAATACTAAAATGTACCCATTATAAGTGTTTCACATATATGCACCTGTGAATTCCCATCATGAGGTATACAGATACATTAGACATTTCTCGATCTTTCTTTTGGAGATGGGTCTTGCAGTGCAGCTCCGGCTAGCCTGGCATTCACTTTGTAGACCAGATTGTCTTCAAACTTAGGGCCATCACCCTGCAGCATGTTGAATCATGGTCCAGCTGTTTTTAGAACTTGAAACATTTGTACAAAGCAACGTCTTCACAACCAAAATTAGTATGTGCAAAGGTTCTGTCCTTCTCCAAAGTTCGCTCATGTGGCCCCTTTGTCATCAAACTTTCTAACAACTCCCCTCTGCCAATTGCTCCTCTTCTCTCTGCTCCTATAATTTACCTTCACCAGTATGACATATAAACACAACCATACAGTCTTCAACCTTTTGAGATGGGTTTATTTCACTGAGCATGAGACATTTGAGATTCACCTATTTTTTAAATGTATTAGTGCACTCAGTCTTACTGCTCATAAGTTTTCCTGTAGTTGGTGGTCTGATGATGGTGTGTTTATTCCTTTACCCCTCAGAAAAACCCGAGTTGTTTTCAGCATTTAAAGACGAATAAGGCTGCTACTACCATGCGTGAGTTCTTGTGTAAATATAGGTTTCATTTCTCTACTAGGAGTGGTATGACTGATTCGTGGTGCTAATTTGCGTGTGGCTTTTTAACAAGCAGCCGTTAGTTCCCTTTATCCTCCTTTGTCCTTGTGGAGGTTTGTAGCAAGATCTCCCTGTGGTTTTCAGTGGTGTTTCCCAAATGGGTAATGATGTTGAATTCTCTGGCGATGTGCATATTGGTCATATGTAAATCTTCTACAATAGAGTATTTGTCCCGATCCTTTGTCCACTTTTTATTGGCTTGCACACACTTTTAGAGCCTTCCAAACATGTGGGAATATGCTTGAAGTTTTCAAAGCCCATGCAAACTTCTCATTCCTTATATTTTTTTCCTCACATCTCCTGTCAGCCTCTTGCCAACATCTGGCTTCATTTTCTTATTCAGGCCTCTCTAAAAACTAAACGCACCGCAGCCAGCTCCCCTCCATGGATGGGCTTTGAGTGAGGTCACATGAAGTCACTCTCTGGAAGCAGGGGTCACTGAGTGGGCACAGGTCCTTGCAGCTCAGCCTGCCAACTCAAATCTGGTGACTCAGATGGTGGAAGGAAAGAGCTGCCGCCCACAAATTGTTCTCAGCATTCCCTCTGGGTGTCATGGAATGTGTGCGTAGGCGCACACACCTTCAACAAATAAATGTAATAAAGAAAATCCAGAGATTTACAGAACTGTCATGCATACCATTTTTGGTAGTGATGACGTTGCTTCATACAAATGTTTTAAGTTCTAAAATCTCTGGATTTTCTTTGTTACATTCTTCTGGATTAAGCAAATGGACTACACACACGAAGATAATGTGGACAGAAATGCCAAACCCATTTCTCTCCTTCCAGGGCCTTTCGGGATGTGGTTTTCCCACATGTGCCATGAGCTGCTTGATTTCAAGGCCGGAGTGCTGGCTGTGTTGTCAACAACAAAAAGGCAGCACAACACCAAGTTCAAAACAATCTAAAACGGCATGAGGCTCAGATGCGCCGAAGAGTCCTGGTTTCTGAAAAGGACACACTTGAGACTGTAAGAGGATTCTGACATAGAGGGGACTCATTATTAATTATCAGTGGTAAACTCCTCAGCTGGGTTGTGGTCACAGACCATGGGCTACAGTAGGTTTTGAACAAAACGTCATGAGATCTGCAACTTTTTGAATATTGAAAATAATAATTTAGGGCCTCTCCCCTTAAGTATTCTGTGAAGCTTCAAGTACTTCAAGGGCCATGATAGCTCATGGTGGGTGATCCATACCCATTAAAATTTATCTTAAAAGAATGTTAGCTTAGAGTTCCAATGGCAGGGGTAGAGCTATAGAGCTTAGTGATAGGGTACTGAGCTTCCACAGTCCCTGCCTCCCAGCCCTTACACCAAAACAAAACCAAAACATTGTCTGGGATAAGGAATAATGGCTTCTTTAAAGTCAGCTTTGTGTTTGTCATTGTGTGGAGACAGGGGCTCACTAAGCAACCCTGGCCTCCTGCAACTCTCCATGTTAATCAGGATGGCCTCGACTCACAGAGATGTTCCTGCCTCTGCCTCTTGGTGCTGAGATCAAAGACAGGTGCCACCACAGCCAGCTTAAAATCAGCTTTTAACATGTGTAATTAACAAATTATAGCTATAGAACAAAAGGTTCTATATCTTTTCTGAAGGACAACATGCTAGTTTGATGTATGTGTGTGTTGTGAAATGGTTTAAAGGAACTCATTAAAAGCGTCTGTTACTTCACAAGGTTAACAGTTTTGGTGAGAATATTGACGATGCCCCATCTAATCTTTGGAAACTGTGAATATACTGCAGCACACTAAAAGGAGAAACGCAAGTCACCTATAAAATTAAGGCTGCTGCTTAGATGACTCTTGAAACTCAGAGATTTTTCCCCCTAGATTATCTAGATGAGCTCTGTATAATCACTTTTTAGTGAAGCGGGATAGAGAGGGAGCGCCAAGGTGACATGGTAGGAGAGACCCAGCCAGCTATTCTTACCCATGAAAGAGGAAAGGGGTGTTAACCAAAGAAAGCAGGAAGCTTCTAGAGACAGAAAAAGAGACACTGCAGCCAGTCCTGATGAGACCTGATAAGCTAGGGTCAGATGAAAGGGGAGGAGGACCTCCGCTATCAGTGGACTTGGAGAGGGGCAGGAAGGAGATGGGGGGGAGGGTGGGATTGGGAGGGATTGAGGGAGGGGGCTACAGCTGGGATACAAAGTGAATAAACTGTAATTAATATAAAAATAAAAATTATAAAAAATAAAATAAATAAAACAAGTGAAAAAAAGAGACATGACTTTTTTTTTTTCTTTTTGCTAGAGCCTTCAAACAATTCAGCCAACACCTTGATTTCAGTAGTGGGAAGTGAAGGCTTAGGCTTTGTCTTGGTCACTTGCATAGTTGTGGGCAGGATTCAGTACCTCATATTGGACTGAAGGGTTTGGTTTCTTGTTGTCTATTGATGCTTCTCGTTCCGGGGCAGCTCAGAACACTGTGACTGTATGTAATCAGAGTGAGAGAAGAAAAAGCCAGCATCTTCCTATCTGAAACTTGCACGTTCTTCTTTATCATCCAGCTTTTGAAAGGTATAATTGACAAATAAACATTGCATGTTTTTAGAGGTATAGGATATGTGATACCACATATATATATATATATATATGAGTTAAACTAATTAATGCATCTATCACTTTATACATCTAAGAGAGAGCATTGAAGATATAGTCTCAAACATATAGTCTTCAAACATCCAATATAGCATTATTACTTGTAGTCACCACACTGTACATCTTCAAAGTGGTTTCTTAGATCCAGCCCAGGCTCAAGAAAAAAATAATGTGTAAGAAAGTGGTGGTACTTAGGGGTTCCATAAATCAAGAAACTAAATATCTGTAATACTAAATGACAAATCCCCTTTGTCTCTGTCTCTTTTTCTGTCTCTACCTTTGTCTCTCTGTCTCTCTCTGTGTGTGTGTTTCACTTGTATATCTGTGCATGTATGTGGAGACTAGAGGTTGCTGTTTGGTGTTTTCCACAATCACCTTATTTTTTTAGAGTCTCTCATGGGGCCCTGAAGCTTGCAAAGTTGACTCTGTTGGCTGGCCAACAAGCCTCTGAGATCCTCCTGTTATTATGTCTCCATCC